CAAAATAAAGACAATCAATATTTTCCCGAACATATAACTAATTATCATATCAATATCATAAAAAAGCCAAGGAAAAATCCGTATATAATGCACACAGGGAGCTTCTAATTATGTACTATGTTGCTCGGACTTGCGTGTGTCTAGTATGGGTGTAGATATAGATGTTATGCTTGGTCAGCTTATTCTCTCTCATAAAAACCTTATATCTTAGTTATTTGATATATAAAAATGTATTGTGATTTACATATTTGATGTATAATCAAATCAACTTTACTCAAATCTTCAATTTCACAAAGATGGATTTGTATTTCCACCTGTTAGGGAAAGAATCATAATAACATCTAACTTGAGTTGAACATATAATGTAGTAGGAATTTGAATGGTATTTTCTTTCAAACTTTTATCTCTTACATATTATATTTTTATTTCTATTCCATGAAATTAAACTTTGAGCCAAAATCAACCTAAGAGTCTAACTCAATAAGTTATGGTTAAAGATACAAGCATTGGTTAGTAAGAGTCCAAAAACTGAGTATGAATGCTTCAAATTTATTTTATATGGAAAATAATAAAGCTAATATAAACCTATGGAAAGGTAAGCTGATCTCATATATAAGAATATACAGCTTTAGTACAAAAGAAAGATATAAATTTACATTTATAATGAAAACGAAAAGAAAAGAATTGATAAGAATAATATATAAGTTACCTGGCGTATTAAAGAAAGATATAGATCTACATTTGTAATGAAAATGAAAAAAAAAAACAAATGATAAGAATAAGTAATATAAGTTATTTGAGTATTTGTTAATACAAAAAATACTCAAATATTTGGACATTCAATAACCAATTTTTTTGTTTGTTTTTTAACTCCTAAACTTGTAATCTTAATCATTGTCTTTATGTTATCATATACTGTAACCTCTAGTTCTAGGTCATCATGCCTAACATGTGTGTCAAGTGTCGGATTTAGACCTTATACCCACACTAACGTTCAAGCAACATGAATTATGTATATTAAGCTCAATACTGCCGATAATCTCAGTTTTAATTTTCATGTATTACTCAAGCAGCTTCACTACATATATATACTGTTCATATGCAGCCATAAGTCTTTTAATAAGTTTGACAAAGCTCAATACCAATACCACTCACCGTACCTAGCAAACAGACTTGCAATTTCTAAAACATGCTTCTCCTGATATTGACATCTCACTTTTTTTTTCTCTCTCTCTCAAAAACATAAAAAGAACAGGTAACAGTTCAGTAATTTAGGGCAACTTTGAGAATGGTCTTGAGCAGATATATCCGGTCAATAAACAAAAAAAACAAACTTTTCTCTGGCTGTAGCTTACATCATTAAATAACTGGGCAGCTACATGCAGCTCTTAGGGTCAAATTCTACCAACAGAAAGAGAAAGAAATAGCTAATCTCAATGCATTAGATAGACCCAATCGAACAACTTTCATCTAACTACTTATTTCAACTACATAAAATAGAATTGCCCCCATTAGATTATCATGTGTCCAATATTCCTAAAATACTCGCCCAAATATCTTGTTATTAACCTAAAGTCATGCAGGTGCAGTAAGGAACACAAACCGTTATCATTTTACAAGAAACTTCAAGCTGTAGGTTACAGGTAACAGGTTTCACTTCTCCTCCCCACATCAGTAAACTGAGGTAGCTGTTTGGAGAAGATAGTCTAAGACACCTTGCATCTGAAAGTTACATGGGAAAACTGCATAACTAGGTAAAATTTCATATTTTCAGTTATATATAAGCCAAAAATATCCGACTACTCATCTAGTTTCTTTGACTTCTGTCCGCTACTTCCTTCTAGTATTATTTTCTTACGTTCTAGTACCTTATATCTGAGGATTGAAGAAATATGTAATGTTACCAATGCTTTTTGACAGCAATCATATCATCTTCGACAGCAACATAAAGGAGTTTCAGCCCAACAGGCTCAAATCATTGGTAAAAATCTAATGCAAACCCAAGTTCAGTCTTTTCTCCACTCCATTACTGATCATTAATTTCGATTTTACATTTGTGTCAGAAATTGATGCCCGCAATAGTAGCCCTATCCTTCACATCCCTGCCTAGCATCACAAGAATAATGGAAAAAAGATCTATCCAATTGGGATAAAAGATAAAGTGAACAAGTAGGTTTACTTCCCCAATCCCCCCTCCCCTCCACCCTTCTGAGATTCCCTTAATTGATAACCTACATCAACTCCTTTTATCTAATCCACTAACAAATGAGCTATAAACAAAAATTAAACAAAATAAAAACAAGCTTGCCATCCCCAAACACCTGTGTGTTTTGAACACCATCTCTATCAAATTTCAACACCAAACTGGAAGTGACATTCATGACGTTGGATATTTAACAGTACTCAGAATTGGATAGCGAGCTTCAAAACATTCCCTACTCACAATTCCATGACCAAATACCGTGCAAGTTGAAGACCATTGGTATGATCTCCGAAGAACTTAAGCAAATTACCAACTAACCACGCCAAAATTGACGTCCTAAACGAGAAGGTAAGTCAGGATCTACGAAACGCACAAGTAATTTTGAGTTATATGCACGTAACAACAGTCTATCTGCAGTAGTTCACAACGTAATCTCCCAGCTATAGAAAATCCACGAAACGTGCATCAATCATCGCCAGATTACGTCTTATTAACCAGCAAAATCCACACGAAAGGGGACTAGAGCAATAAAGAAAATCCTAAAGAGATATAATCGCAGCTAGCAAAAAGCTAAGTTGCGCGCTGATTTAAACCTCTGACAAACGAATTAGAATCGAAATTCAAACAGAAATTCATAAATAAATAAAAAATTAACTGCGGTTACCTGATTGATTGATGAACTGATTCAAGAATGATTTTCTTCTTTTGCTTCTGCTTGTGTTTCTGTTTGGAGACAGAAACAAAATTGCCCAGACCAACGAACAACATCAACAGCCGAAATATTTCCACCTCTTTATTGCTTTCTTCCCAGACGGGATAGATTTTTATTATTTTTTAAAGATGGAATTCTGATTTTAATTTTTTTTAATTATTGATGAATTTTATGTTCTTCTTTTAATTCTTTATTTTTAAAAAAAAAAAATCCCTCTTAGAAAATTATTAAGTAGAACAAATTATGCTTTAATTATGATATTTATAATTGATTAAAAAATTATAATTTTTATAATCTATTATATAATTTTTTTATATATATAATAAAATAATATACACAATAATATAATTTAATGGGAGAATAATAATATTGTTTTGTGTTTTGACTTTTAATTAAACATAAATTCTGGAATTATGAACTACATAAACTTTAGTTTTTTCTATACTCATTTTTTTATATTTTATTAATTTTTTTTCTATTATTTTTATTATTTTATATAATTAGAAATATTATTTTAAAAAATATATATATTAACAAAAAATAAGAAAAGCATCAAACCCATTACCTAAAACGTATCATAAAAGTTTTAAGTCAATATAGGATATGAAGTCTTCCCAAGCATGGGCGAGGTGGGCAATGCATTAAGTGATTTGGTGAACTCGATTAGTAAAACGATTTAGTAAAATGATTGGCACATATGTTTACTTACTATAATCACGAGTTAGGAGATCTTTCGTATGGTTCTTAATCATAAAAGCGTGTGAAGAGGGGGAGCAAGGGCAATTTTGTAACGGCCCCAGAAATATTAAAATGAAATGAGTATTTAAATATATCAAATGCGGAAGCGAGATCAAAATTTCAGTTAACATCCCTTACACGAAAAACCAAAAACATACTTAAAATATAAAAGATTAAACTAACTAAGAGAGAAACTCGAAAATAAAACTATGAGTATGACTACAGAGTCTCTAGGCATCCCCTTCGTCGTCCTCCTGCGGAACGGGCTCGGGAACCATGACTTCCTGATCTGAAATGGTTAAATAAGGAGTGAGCTACACTAGCCGAGTAAGAACATCACGATATCTCACCGTCACGGAGGTAAAGGTGGGTAGAAAAAACACAAAAAGACCAATGGAGCATAATTTACAACAAACTCGTTTATTAACATGAAAACCTTTACCATCCACTTACCTCGGTGGAATTTATGAAAACAATATAAGAAAAACAATAACATTATCATAATCATTGAATAATATAAGCTGTAAAACATAACACTTATCACGCCTCTTGTAATTCAATCATTGTACAACATATCTTTTTCTCATTTACCAGCCTACTAGTATCCGTGGGGGTCCATAGGGGTTCCGCTACCCGTTAACCTTTAACATTCACAATCAGTTTCCAGGGCCGTCCCCATACCCCGTCGGGTATGGGCGCCAAAACCATAAACCTCAATACCCCGTCCGGTATGAGGGTGAAACGGGCCGTCCCCATACCCCGTCCGGTATGGGCACCAAAACCATAAACCTCAATACCCCGTCCGGTATGAGGGTGAAACGGGCCGTCCCCATACCCCGTCCGGTATGGGCGCCAAAACCATAAGATCTCCATACCCCGTCCGGCATGTGAGACCACAATCCCGGTAGGGTTCCCTATGGACCCGGTCCGTCCACCATCTCCCAGGATATCTAGTCAGGCTGAACCCCATAATACAATTATCAGTCTACACAATCTTTCATTTTCCTTTTCCTCAGTCAGCATCATCAATTCACATTTAAACAAGCAAATCGTAATTCATGCCAAACAGACAACATACAGTATCAGTTTTTCAGTCACTCAACCCATAATTAATAAAAACATAGTATATGCACACAAATCTGTAAAATGAGCACATCAAACCTCATTTTGCATTTAAAGCTGTAAACAGGTC